CGATTAATTTTAAGAGCTACAGCGATTAATGTTAAAAGCTATAACGATTAATGTTAAGATCTATAGAGATTAAAGTAAGAAGTGTGTGATTATCATTAGAAGTCTTGCTCGATCACTGTCAATGTTGACATCCGTCTCTCTGTCCCGCCGCCGCCAACCGTCCTTGCAGCCTCGTCCCGCGCTCTCTCCTCGAACCTCTTTGTTATCGTTCATACACCACCTCCCTGTCTCTCATCTACCATACACCCCTCCCTGTCTCTCATCTACCATACACCCCTCCCTGTCTCTCATCTACCACACACCCCTCCCTGTCTCTCATCTACTATACATCCCTCCCTGTCTCTCATCTACCACACACCCCTCCCTGTCTCTCATCTACCATACACCCCTCCCTGTCTCTCATCTACCATACACCACCTCCCTGTCTCTCATCTACCATACACCCCTCCCTGTCTCTCATCTACCACACACCCCTCCCTGTCTCTCATCTACCATACACCCCTCCCTGTCTCTCATCTACCACACACCCCTCCCTGTCTCTCATCTACCATACACCCCTCCCTGTCTCTCATCTACCATACACCCCTCCCTGTCTCTCATCTACCATACACCCCTCCCTGTCTCTCATCTACCATACACCCCTCCATGTATCTCATCTACCATACACCCCTCCCTGTCTCATCTACCATACACCCCCTCCCTGTCTCTCATCTACCATACACCCCTCCATGTATCTCATCTACCATACACCCCTCCCTGTCTCTCATCTACCATACACCCCTCCCCGTCTCTCATCTACCATACACCCCTCCCTGTCTCTCATCTACCATACACCCCTCCATGTCTCTCATCTACCATACACCCCTCCCTGTCTCTCATCTACCATACACCCCTCCATGTCTCTCATCTACCATACACCCCTCCCTGTCTCTCATCTACCATACACCCCTCCATGTCTCTCATCTACCATACACCCCTCCCTGTCTCTCATCTACCATACACCCCTCCATGTCTCTCATCTACCATACACCCCTCCCTGTCTCTCATCTACCATACACCCCTCCCTGTCTCTCATCTACCATACGCCCCCTCCTGTCTCTCATCTACCACACACCCCTTCCCGTCTCTCATCTACCATACACCCCTTCCCGTCTCTCATCTACCATACACCCCTCCCTGTCTCTCATCTACCATACACCCCTTCCCGTCTCTCATCTACCATACACCCCTTCCTGTCTCTCATCTACCATACATCCCTCCCTGTCTCTCATCTACCACACACCCCTCCCTGTCTCTCATCTACCACACACCCCTCCCTGTCTCTCATCTACCATACACCCCTCCCTGTCTCTCATCTACCATACACCCCTTCCCGTCTCTCATCTACCGTACACCCCTCCCTGTCTCTCATCTACCATACACCCCTCCCTGTCTCTCATCTACCATACACCCCTCCCTGTCTCTCATCTACCATACACCCCTCCATGTATCTCATCTACCATACACCCCTCCCTGTCTCTCATCTGCCATACACAGCGTCTCCGTCTCTCATCTGCCACACACCCCTTCCCGTCTCTCATCTACCATACACCCCTCCCTGTCTCTCATCTACCATACACCACGTCCCTGTCTCTCATCTACCATACACCCCTCCCTGTCTCTCATCTACCATACACCACGTCCCTGTCTCTCATCTACCATGCACCCCTCCCTGTCTCTCATCTACCATTCACTCCTTCCCGTCTCTCATCTACCATTCACTCCTTCCCTGTCTCTCATCTACCATATACAGCTTCACCCTCTCTCTCATCTGGGGATAGTCAACTGTTGTGGGTTGCATCATGTAAAAGGTCAGTCGCTGGCCTGAGGAGGCTCGATAAGCCTACCATGATTCATGTCCGCGATAAAAAAAAATAAAAAAAAAATTAAAACTTCCATAGACTCCCCCATCTCTTATATGGTTAGGCTTAGGCCTATCCGGGCGGTTATCTCTCTGGCCAGGCAATTTAATGGGTCCCAAGATCGAGTTCCACTGACGACTCAATGATCCGTCTAATTTTGTGAGTCCAGACTCGTGAATGGGTTGTGAGTCTTGACTCGTGAATGGGTTGTGAGTCTTGACTCGTGAATGGGTTGTGAGTCCTGACTCGTGAATGGGTTGTGAGTCTTGACTCGTGAATGGGTTGTGAGTCCTGACTCGTGAATGGGTTGTGAGTCTTGACTCGTGAATGGGTTGTGAGTCCTGACTCGTGAATGGGTTGTGAGTCTTGACTCGTGAATGGGTTGTGAGTCCTGACTCGTGAATAGGTTGTGAGTCCTGATTCATGAATGGGTTGTGAGTCCAGACTCGTGAATGGGTTGTGAGTCCTGACTCGTGAATGGGTTGTGAGTCCTGACTCGTGAATGGGTTGAGTCCTGATCCATGAATGGGTTGTGAGTCCTGACTCGTGAATGGGTTGTGAGTCCAGACTCGTGAATGGGTTGTGAGTCCTGACTCGTGAATGGGTTGTGAGTCCAGACTCGTGAATGGGTTGTGAGTCCTGACTCGTGAATGGGTTGTGAGTCCAGACTCGTGAATGGGTTGTGAGTCCAGACTCGTGAATGGGTTGAGAGTCCTGACTCGTGAATGGGTTAACTCATGAGTACTCTCACTCCCTACAACTGGGTGGCAAACTTACCCTTGCTGGAGATCTCTTCCAAACGAACTAATCTACTGTAAAGCTCCTGTCTGTCTCACATCTACCATAAAGCTCCTGTCTGTCTCACATCTACCATAAAGCTCCTGTCTGTCTCACATCTACCATAAAGCTCCTGTCTGTCTCACATCTACCATAAAGCTCCTGTCTGTCTCACATCTACCATAAAGCTCCTGTCTGTCTCACATCTACCGTAAAGCTCCTGTCTGTCTCACATCTACCATAAAGCTCCTGTCTGTCTCACATCTACCGTAAAGCTCCTGTCTGTCTCACATCTACCATAAAGCTCCTGTCTGTCTCACATCTACCGTAAAGCTCCTGTCTGTCTCACATCTACCGTAAAGCACCTGTCTGTCTCACATCTACTGTAAAGCACCTGTCTGTCTCACATCTACCGTAAAGCACCTGTCTGTCTCACATCTACTGTAAAGTTCCTGTCTGTCTCACATCTACCGTAAAGCACCTGTCTGTCTCACATCTACCGTAAAGCACCTGTCTGTCTCACATCTACCGTAAATCACCTGTCTGTCTCACATCTACCGTAAAGCACCTGTCTGTCTCACATCTACTGTAAAGCTCCTGTCTGTCTCACATCTACCGTAAGGCACCTGTCTGTCTCCCATCTACCGTAAAGCTCCTGTCTGTCTCACATCTGCCGTAAAGCACCTGTCTGTCTCACATCTACCGTAAAGCTCCTGTCTGTCTCACATCTACCGTAAAGCACCTGTCTGTCTCACATCTACCGTAAAGCACCTGTCTGTCTCACATCTACTGTAAAGGTCCTGTCTGTCTCACATCTACCGTAAGGCACCTGTCTGTCTCCCATCTACCGTAAAGCTCCTGTCTGTCTCACATCTGCCGTAAAGCACCTGTCTGTCTCACATCTACCGTAAAGCTCCTGTCTGTCTCACATCTACCGTAAAGCACCTGTCTGTCTCACATCTACCGTAAAGCTCCTGTCTGTCTCACATCTGCCGTAAAGCACCTGTCTGTCTCACATCTACCGTAAAGCTCCTGTCTGTCTCACATCTACCGTAAAGCACCTGTCTGTCTCACATCTACCGTAAAGCACCTGTCTGTCTCACATCTACTGTAAAGCTCCTGTCTGTCTCACATCTACCGTAAAGCTCCTGTCTGTCTCACATCTACCGTAAGGCACCTGTCTGTCTCCCATCTACCGTAAAGCTCCTGTCTGTCTCACACCTACCGTAAAGCTCCTGTCTGTCTCACATCTACCGTAAAGCTCCTGTCTGTCTCACATCTACCGTAAGGCACCTGTCTGTCTCACATCTACCGTAAGGCACCTGTCTGTCTCCCATCTACCCTAAAGCACCTGTCTGTCTCACATCTACCGTAAAGCTCCTGTCTGTCTCCCATCTACCGTAAAGCTCCTGTCTGTCTCACATCTACCATAAAGCTCCTGTCTGTCTCACATCTACCGTAAAGCTCCTGTCTGTCTCACATCTACCGTAAAGCATTGTCTGTCTTACATCTACCGTAAAGCACCTGTCTGTCTCACATCTACTGTAAAGCATTGTCTGTCTTACATCTACCGTAAAGCACCTGTCTGTCTCACATCTACCGTAAAGCACCTGTCTGTCTCACATCTACCGTAAAGCACCTGTCTGCTTCACATCTACCGTAAAGCACCTGTCTGTCTCACATCTACCGTAAAGCACCTGTCTGCTTCACATCTACCGTAAAGCACCTGTCTGTCTCACATCTACCGTAAAGCACCTGTCTGTCTCACATCTACCGGAAAGCACCTGTATGTCTCACATCTACCGTAAAGCACCTGTCTGCTTCACATCTACCGTAAAGCACCTGTCTGCTTCACATCTACCGTAAAGCACCTGTCTGTCTCACATCTACTGTAAAGCACCTGTCTGTCTCACATCTACCGTAAAGCACCTGTCTGCTTCACATCTACCGTAAAGCACCTGTCTGCTTCACATCTACCATACGTCTCTCCTATCTACCACAGAGAGGTACCCACAAGAACAAATCAATCACTGGTATTATTTCTGCATATTAAAAGTAGCCAGTCATTTGTTTTAAAATTGTTTAAGTAACTAAGCATAAACAACTATAAAATATAAAATTAATGGCTAGACATTGTATAAATGATAGTTACCTTTATGTTTGGTGTATGTGGTGCCCAGGGTTATTGTTTCCCGCGGTCTAGTAAACAAGTAATTCATAGATTCATCGTTTTTGGCATATCATATACTCATTACTTATGTCTCACTCACCACACGCACAGTGTACCCAAGATATTACCTCCTTCCTCACCCGTCCTCGCCTCTCTCTCTCTCTCTCTTGCAGCATCACCGGAGCCATGTGTCGTTTAGCCCTCGCTACTATCCTTGCGCTGGTGTCCGTCGCCGCCGCTCGTATGGCCTACCAGCTGCCGGCGGACGTAGAGCTGTATTTGTCGTCGCCCATCCAGACCACCTTTTCCTGCGACAACCTTCCTTACGGCTACTACGCCGACGTCGACAATAACTGCCAGCTCTTCCACGTCTGCTTACCCGTCGCTGACGAGATTGGTGCTTTGTTGGAGACGGCCCACTTCACCTTCGCTTGCGGCAACGAGACCGTTTTCGACCAGGAGTCGCTGACATGCGCTCACACTGCTCTATCCTTTCCCTGTAGCGAGGCACGCACCCTCTACGAGCTCTCCAACGCGGAGTTCTTCAGGATCCCCGAGAAGGTCTAGCGTGGCACTTGCCTGATGCGAACCCTGCGACTGGAAGTCTCCAACTGCTACAGCTCGACATTAGACACTCTTGTTGCCTTCAGGATCAAGAGTTTACTTCCCTAAAAATCGCTGCTATCAACATTAACAGTGTCAGATTGTGGATTTCACAATGACTTAGTGTTGAGGAGGTAGGGGTGAGTGTGTGTATGTGTCTTCGTGCGAAGGTACTCTAATTTCAAGCTTGTTTTCAAATAAAACCCTAGTATCAAAAATAGTTTAATTTCATAATTACCGAACAATCATTGAGCTTTCAGAGCTTTCCTGAGCTCTGAAAGCTCAATGATTGTTGATTCGTTGATTCGAGTTTGCCATTTCTTTAATAAGCTTTAATAAGCATAATGAACAAAAAGATGAAAATGTAAAGAAGCTGAAGCAAAAATGTGAATATTTCATGAACTGAAGGAAACATGAGAATTTAAAAATACAAGACATCTAGAGTATATAGTATTGTACCCAGAGAGAAGACAAACATGGTGTCTTGGACAACATGGTGTCATGGCATGGTGTCCCAGTGATAACACTATCATAGTGAATCAAGGCTAACCAATACCCTGCAATACTTTGCATTCAATATTTTTGCGTTTGAGATAATTTGTCATTTCTTACAAAATTTTGTAAATATTTGGTGTCTTAAAGATATTGGGGAAACTATTGTTAATTCATTAGGAAGCAAGTAACAAACTGGTTGCTTTTAGTTGCATGGAGTGATTGCACAGATTTAGCCAGACTCGTGATATATCAAAGATTGATAAATAAATTATATATTCAACATTGGGATATCAGATGATATTTCAGCTACACTAATCTCATAAAATAGATCAGCTCAAGCTAAAAAATTATAAGAAAAAAAAATGCAAAAAAACTAATTTATTAAATATTGTAATACAATATTGTAATGTATTGTCCCCAATACAACAGACTTTATATTCAAATTACTCAGCAGCTTTAGGTTTTTCAAATAGTGCAAGTGTTTCAACTGTTGCTACATTATATCTGTTGCTGCGGCTACTGCTGCTCTCACTTGTCAACGCCTCAGCCGACTCCTCCTTTCTGTTAGAATAAGTGCATCTTCAGTAGACCTAATAAAAAATGGTTTAATAAAAATCTTTCCACCTATTGAGGATTCAATTGCGGCAATTGAATGTTTTAGTTTGTCAATTCGTGCTTGTATTGCATTTCTTTTGGCTTGTAACACTGCTCTTTCCAATTGTAAATGATACAGTTTGCTTTTCAAACTCATAATTCCACGATTTTGTTGTATTTGGCTCTCCATGTTAGCTCTCTGTGGCTCTCTATTAGCTGTAGAAGTATCTGTAGAAGTAAAGGAGTTTTTTTTTATTATTATTATTTTCTACCACAGACGTGGCCACACATTTACAATGCTAACCAGCATATATACATTTTCTTCTGTCCTCCATGGACAGGGTTAGAGAAATGTTAAACATAGAGTTCAAGGGTTTATTGAACACTCAACCACAGAAAGTGATTCGGTGCTAATATTAGCCTTTATCTGATTATTAGCAGATAAAAATTAATTATATTCCTAGTCTGAAAATTTGCATGTCTTTGAATTATATTAGTTCTATCTTAAAATAGTTAAACTATAAACTTTTATTTAAATTCAAGCCATCAGGCAGATCATTTGTGCTTGTGTGCATCCAAGTGCACACAAGTCTTTCTGTGCACCTGGGTGCACACAACTGTAGCCTTGCACAGCTTTCAGTTGCACACCATAGGCTGCAGCTCACAGTTGTAAACTTCTAGCAACAACAGATGCAACTTACCAGCAACCGCGATGCTGCAAATAAATTTCCAGTAGCTTCAGTTGCAAATCTTTTATAATTAATACAAAGATTATGGCCTATGATGTTTGATTTCACCCAACACACAAAAATCCCCATCTCACAGGATGGAGTCTTGCATGGAATCAGACTAGATAATTTAGAACATTAAATTATAAGGTATAAATTGCATATGAGAACATAAGAATGAAAGTAACTACAGAAGGTAGTTACTATAGTTGGGGGTCTAACTATAGAAGTTGGGGTAGTTGGGGGTCTACCACTGCAAACCACCTTAAGCCCATCATCACACAGCAAAAATCTGCTATCAGAATAATAACTAACTCTGCTTTCAGACAACACTCAGCTCCCTTGTTTAAATCTCTAAACTTGCTAAATATTAACTCCCTCCACACATTCTCTTGTGTCAACTACATTTACAAAACCCTGTTCTTAAATGCAAACCATGCTCTGAAACTCTCCCTGGACAGATGTAATAGGACCCATTATCACCACACCAGAAATAAATATCTCTTTGATATCCCCAGGGTCAAACTTAATCTGTGTAAACACTCTATGCAAATTAAGGGACCTAGTCTATGGAACTCACTCCCTAGTGAATTGAAAAACTGTAAAACTTTTGCCTTATTTAAAAGCAAAACCAAAAAGTACCTAACTTCATCTATTTAGTTTCCTACACTGAGCTTTAAATTTGCTCTGTACCTAGTGTTACCCAATCTCCTAATTTTTATGTAATATCAAACAACCTTATCATTGTGTTCATTGCTGTCTTCTTTTATGTGCTAGCCATATGCTGTATTGTGACTACCAATTTTTTGTCAACTACCATTCAAGCTGTCATTGCAATCAATCTTATATTGTTTCTGCTGTATTGTGCCTACCAATTTGTTGTCAACTACCATTTTAAGCTGTCATTGCAATCAATCATAGCTACCTATGTGCTTTAATATACTGTACCTATAATTTTCTCTCATCTTTTTTTTCATTCCATGTAATCTGTTATCATTTTTTGTCTATAAATTTTGCAAGTATTTACCTCCTTAAAATTTTCTTAGATTAAGGACCTGCCCGAAACGCTGTGCGTGCTAGTGGCTTTACAAGACTGTAATTACCATATTTGTATCCTCACATTCCTTATGTACATTCTTGTATATGCATAAATAAATAAACTATAGTTACTATTGGCCAATAGTCAATAGTAACTATTGGCCCATATTTTCTCTTGCTGCGTCTATGCTGGTTCGGGGTCTTGAAGTGGGTAGAATATAGTTGTGTTAATTGTTGGTGTTGCCTTTTTGATGTGTAGGGCTGATGCCGTTGATGTCGAGTCTCCTGCTATCACTGTATGTATCGAGGATTTCCGTGTTGCTTCTTAATATTTCACTGGTGATGATCTGGCTGGAAGAGGAGATTATATGTTCCTTGATGGAGGAACATATAACAATGCACAAACCTGTTGTTTGTGCAATGTTAATCGCCAAAAAAGAGACGTTGTTGTCTTGCCTATATACTAAGATCTTTGGGGCTTACAGTCCCCAAGTGTAATATTAAGGCATAGACAACATTGGTTTCTTTCAAGGCGTTCTGTTTGGTGTCTAGAAAGTTTTTCATGAGTAGCATAAAAATGTCGTCAACATACCTGCAGTATATGGCAAGTTTCAAGTCCATGTCAACTAAGACCCTCTGCTCTATGGTGCATGTAGAAGTTCGCAAACAGGCACAAGATAGGGTCGCCTAGGAGAGAACCCATGGCGACCCCATTTACTTGCCTATCTAGACTTAAGAGGCCTGCACTAAAGGGCCTCTTTAGTGCAGTGGTCTGGCATTAGGTGACAGTTTAAACCCAGATTCAAAAGAGTGATTTGGAAACTGGAGTTGGAGATCCTATTAGAGGACATATTCGACCTCGATACGCAAAAGAAGGTAACCACTAAAGACGCCCTGCAAGCGGAACTTATTGCAGAAGGAGAAAAGATTCGAGGCAACTACAGAAGCACCATACTGTCCCCCGAGCTCAAAGTGGCAGCTAAGAGCCTTCGTGAGAATAAGGAGATAGTCGTCAGGAGAGGTGACAAGCCGATAATATACATTATTCTTAAAAAAGACGAATATTTGGCAAATATGAACCTCATTCTCTCCGACCAAACTAAATTCCAAAGGGTAACGAAGGACACTACAGCCGAATTGAAAACGAAGGTAAACAGATTGATTGAAACTGAACGCCAAGAAATCCGGACTCCACCTGCCAAAGGTTATCAGGGAATACAAACCTGGTTATGCTATGGGAATGTCAAGACACACAAGCCTGGAAACCCACCTCTGTCAATCATCAGCCAGATACCCACACCCACATACAGACTGGCAAAACGACTCAACTGCCTGCTGATTCCTTATGTGCCTTGTGCCTTTAGTCTGAAGTCTCCAAAGGAATTCGTTGACTTACGGTGGGGAGCACGGGACACAGGGATAAGAACCTCTTTGGATATGGAGTCGCTGTTTACCAAATACCTGTGGACGAAACAATCGGGATGATAATGGACAGTGTACCGTGATCTGGCATGTACTCCTCTTGACATACCAGAGTGCATACTAAGGAAGTTACTCCAAGCCTGCACTAAAGAGGCACCCTTCTTGAGTACCGATGGGCACATGTTCAAGCAAGTAGACGGGGTCGCCATGGGTTCTCCTCTAGGTGTCCTGTTTGCTAACTTCTACACGAGCACAATAGAGCAGAGGGTCTTAGTTGACATGGACTTGAAACCTGTCATACACTGCAGGTATGTTGACGACATTTTTATGCAGGTACTTGATGTCAGACTTGTTGAAGAGCAATGCAATAGCAGGAGCTAAAGATCAAGAGGCTTTTTTGTAAATTAAAGTTGGTATCTCCTCAAGGGCACTAGACTTGGTTTTAAGGAAAAGGATTATCTCCTTAACATCAGTGGAATTTGCAGGCGTTAGGTACAGAGACTGTGGGTAGTTACCTGTAAGATAGTACTGAACATCAGTACTGTAAGATGGAATATCATTTGCAAGGGATGACCCAATGGAAGAGAAGAACCTATTGAACTCAATAGCAGTATCAGAGGCTGTAAGCTGACCATCGTTATTGGACAGGAGTGTTGGTTTGTTATTTAAAATCTTCTTTGATCCCAATATTTGTGAAATTGTGCTCCATGTTTTCTTAATGTTGCTCTTTATTTGCGTAAATTTATCTTCGTAGTATTTAGTTTTGGCTCTTCTAATTATTTTAGATAGCAATGACGAGTAATTCTTTGAAAATTCTTTGGAGACGATTCCTAACTATACTTCTTCTCAAGGTCATGTTTTTTATTAATGGATTTAAGTATTCCCTTTGTAAGCCAAGGATTGATTAGCCTTTTAGGTGTGACTTGTTTCGTTAGCATAGGACAGTGGGTGTTATAAAGGCTGAGAGTTTTTTGAAGAAAGGATTGCACTGCTAGGTTGATGTCACCTATGTTACCTAATTCGGTCTCCCAGTTGACATTAGCAGCAGCAGCAGCTATAAAATTGCCTATAGCAGTTTCATTGTGCAGCCTAAAGCTTATCTCCCTTGTCTCCAGAGGTGGTTTGGTAATGTTAGTTAGGAGAAATGTGGGGTAATGGTCTGTAGTGCTATCGATGATTATCCCTGAAGTAAGCGGAGAGGTTATGTTGGTCCAGATGTGATCAAGAGCCGTGGCAGTACTATTGGTGATTCTAGTAGGTCTAGTGATTAAGGGTATGAGGAAGCAGGAATTCATACAGTTGAGGAAGCTGGCAGCAGTAGGGTTTTCAGGCTCGCAGAGATCAATATTAAGGTCCCCTGCGATAATTAGATGGTTTTTGTTCAGTCTGTTATCTAGTATTAGATTTCTAAGGTTAGAGTTGAATTCGGACACATCAGTGTTAGGAATTCTATAGACTGCTCCCACAGTCAGGATAGACTCAGCACCCTTGACTCTGACACTGGCGAAGATATACTCCAGTTGACAGTTGAGAGGCGGGACCAAAGAGCCAGCAGAGCTCAACCCCCGCAAACACAACTAGGTGAGTACTCCCCACAGTAATCTCTAGTTCTAATTACTTTTAAGCATGTTAGTTCTTGGTGTACAACTATATTCTACCCACTTCAAGACTCCGAACCAATATAGAAGCATCAAGAGGAAGTATGGGCCAATAGGCCCTCTGCAGTTACTTCCATTCTTATGCTCTCATATCCAATTAATACCCATTGTTTCGTGTTCTGTCTTGTATATGTCATAAGTTTGTTCACCTCATCCAAAACCGTTGCACCATATCACCTCACTCAAATGCGAGTATAAGTAAGAAGGATTAGATGTTTATTGTTAGTATAAGTATGACTCTGTTTAGTGTTTTCAGGTTATAGTTGTGTGTGTAAACTAAAGTCTTTGAAAATGTAATAAGTTATTACGAAACGCGTTCAAGCGTCGCGTCAGACTAGAAATAAAAATGAATTTTAGAGAATTGATTTTTCAATTACCATCGACAGTAAAAAGAAACATAAGAAATATTGAGAAAATTCGTGTTAGAATTATTAATCTTACTTTTTCGGTCATATTTAACAACATATGTTTACAAGAAAGACTGCTACCAAAATATACTAATACATGTATACGTATATATATGTACACGTATGTATGAGTATGCATACATGTATATATAACATTAATAATTTTGTAACTAGCGTCAAAAGATTGTTATTTGCTGAGCTAAACGAACTAGAGGGTTCAGTTCCTGAACCGATTATGTGCCTCTGTAATCCTTTTCACCACCGCCCACGGGATGGGTATGGGGTGCATAATAAAGATTCGTTAGTTAGAAAAGTTAGTTGGTGCTAACCTTGCCAGTAAAATCCCACAGACTCAGACACATATCAACACATATCTCTCAGGCAGCTATCCAAACTATTTTCTCATTTCACCAGTCAGCCCGACAGATGTTGTGTCCATCATACACTCAGTAAAAACTAAAGCTGGGAACATCAGGGAAATCCCATCCATTGTATACAAGAGCGCCTCCCATGCCCTTACGCCACCTATAGCTCTGCTGTTCAACAATTTCCCCCCCCCCTCACTTTGCCCGAAACGCTTTGCGTACTAGTGGCTTTAGGTATTGTATGTACTACCTCTATCTTTAAATCAAACAGAATGTGTGTACAGTAATTCTGCAACTTTGTATGTACTTTTCCTAAATAAATTATTATTATTATTTAAATCCCTAGAGTGTCATACCTTCCCTGATATCCTTTAAAAAGCAAGAGTAACGCCAGTTCATAAAGGAGGCAATCCGGCAGACATAAACAATTATAGACCAATATCAAACCTACCCATACTATCAAAAATATTAAAAAAATTATTTACAAACAGCTCTACTCCTACCTCGTAAAATTCGACATACTCAGCCCCTGTCAGTTTGGCTTCCGCTCCTAAAAGAGTACCAACGATGCAACTGTTAGTCTCCATGGTATAATTTACTCAGCCCTTGACAAAAATGAGTTTCCGACTGGACTCTTCATTGACCTGAGAAAGGCCTTTGATACTGTTAATCATAACTACCTCTTACGTAAACTCCACCATTATGGAATCCGAAGCCATGCCCTGGACTATATCCAATTCTATCTTAGTGATAGACACCAATGTGTGGCCATCAATGATATAACCTCTCCCACTCTACCAATAACCGTTGGAGTGCCACAGGGCAGCATCTTGGGACCTCTCCTATTTCTTATATACATCGATAATCTGCCTAATGTCTCTAACATTCTGAAACCTATATTGTTTGCTGATGATACTACCCTCCTCTACTCTAACCCCAACCCACATACACTAAATAATGTTGTTCATAATGAACTAAAAAAAAAGTTCACTTATGGCTGTCAATCAACAAACTAACACTTAACATAGAAAAGACTTACTACATCTTATTTGGAAGCAAATCAACAAATGCAATTCAGCTTTAGATAGACAATGTTAACATTAGTAATAAAAATGATGGAAAGTTTCTTGGCGTATTCCTAGACAAGAGACTCAACTTCAGCACCCACATACAACACATAACTAAGAAAGTCTCTAAAACAGTTGGTATACTCTCCAAAATCAGATATTATGTACCTAACTCTGCTCTCAACTCACTTTATTATGCACTAATCTATCCCACTCTTAATTAATTAAAACACTTTAATGCCCGCGGGCCCCGTGAAAAAAATAGCACATTGTGCGCGCGACGTTTTGGGCTCTTGAGCGTAAACACCAAAACGTGTGTAATCTTTTCACTCTCCTGACACCAATTCTTAAGCTACGTATTTCATTTTGATATCAATGTGTTGGAAATAAAATTCTCTACAAGATCATATGTATAACATGTCACCAAAGCATTAGCTATCCCACCACGAAATAAATAAAACATAGATCACTCGCCGTGACGCCCAAACAGCAACAAAATGTTCATACTCTTTTGTTTGTTGTCAGCTCCACATTAGTCCTACAGCGTTATATTTTATATCACTGAACTTGCAATAAAATTTCCTACACAGACATATGCATATAAATGTAGAATCATGATCGCGGCCCACACCAAGAGTGTGTGAAGTGGGCGATTACCTTCATTCTGTCAACAACTCAATAGTCTCTCCTCTAAGTTACAATACGATGCCGTTTTCTCAAATAGGCCATGTGCCTATTACAGAAAACGAAAATTTAATGGCAAACATTTTCATACTAACCCAAAGTCGATCGAATAAGAATTGGATTTTATATGTTGTTTTTTAGATCGGCCGGCTATTTACGGTCCGGTTGCATTAAAGTTTATGGTATCTATGCATGGGGTTCAACCACTGCAAACCACCTCAAGTCCATCATCACCCAGCAAAAATCTGCTATCAGAATAATAACAAATTCTGCTTTCAGACAACACTCAACCCCCTTGTTTAACTCCCTAAACATGCTAAACATAATCTCACTCCACACATTTTCTTGTGTCAACTACATTTACAAAACCTTGTTCTTAAATGCAAATCCTGCTCTGAAACTCTCTCTCTGGACAGATGTAATAGGACCCATTATTACCACACCAGAAATAAATATATCTTTGATATCCCCAGAGTCAAATTCAATCTGTGTAAACACTCTATGCAAATAAAGGGACCCAGTTTACGGAACTCACTCCCTAATGAATTGAAAAGCTGTCCAACTTTTGCGTCATTCAAAAACAAAACTAAAAAGTTCCTAATTTCATCTTCATAGTTTTCTACCTTGTTGCTTTAAATTTGCACTGTATCTAGTGCTACCAAAACTCCCAATCTTTATGTACCCAATCCAAACAACTTTACCATTGTGATCATTGTTGTCTTTTTATATGTGCCATCAATTTGCCGTATGGTGCCTATTAATCTTTGTTTAAATTACCAATCAAGCTGTCAATGTAATCAATCAGAGCTTTAATATACCAATGTGCTTTAATATACCTACTCATTTTTTTCTTGCTATGTATCTGTTACCATTTTATTAATTCTACTAGAATTACCTACTTAAAATTTTCTGTTAGATTAAGGACCTGCCCAAAACGCTGCGCTTACAAGTGGCTTTACAAGATTGTAAATGCCATTTATATATTTATTTATTTATTTATTTATTTATTTATATACAAGAAGGTACATTGGGTTTGTGAGAATACATAGCATAGTATTTACATGCATTAAAGCCACTAGTACGCGCAGCGTTTCGGGCAGGTCCTTAATCTAACAGATAATTTTAAGTAGGTAAATTCTAGCAGAATTAATAAAATGATAACAGATACATTGCAAGAAAAAAATGAGATGAGAGAGATTAGTAAGTATATTAAAGCACATTGGTGCTTATAAATAAATAAATAAATAAATAAATAAGAAAAAAATTTAATTGTTGATGAGCGGAAGTCGTTCGTGAGCCGGAACCGAGCCAGCAGCAGGAAGTGTTCATGAGCCGAGCCACCTGAACCATCACCTGCAGCGGTCACCACACTCGTCACTGGGCCTTCACACCATTACCCCGAGACCAGTGAGAAATGTGGGCGGTGGGCGTGCTAGCTGTGGTGGCGGGCGTGGGCGTGTTGGTCAACGCCCACTGTTACATTGACCCTTCAGTTATTAATAAGAGTGATCGCGACCAGCAGGAGAACTATCTCAAAATCTTGGAGCCAATTAATGGCCAAAGGTGAACAAATTAGTAGACTGTGTTCTCTGTTCTAGGGTCACTAGGTGTTCTTGTCAGGCCTCGGCCTACAAGAACACCAGAGCCAGGCCCTTTGATACAATGACTATTATTTCATTTTCCTAATCGTATAATAATAATTTCTATATGTTTATATTATATGTGATACATTTGAAACACCATACCAGTTTTAGCAATAATTCATAATAAGTATTGGATACACAATGTAAATTATATAAAGCCACAATACACAGTGTTTGTGGTACATGGAGCCAGCGTGTGTACAATACAGCTGGAGTAAAGTGGCTACATTCTCACACCACAATTGAGGGTCCCTGGGTTCCATCCCTATGCGGGACAGAACTGGTTAGACGTGTTTCGTTTCACCTCATTCCCCTGTTCACCTAGCGGTAAATAGGTACTGGGAGTTAGGCCACTCCTGTTGGGGGGGGGGGGTTGCATTCTGTTGTTGTTGTTATAGATTCAGCTACTCGGAACAAGTTCCAAGTAGCACGGGCTATGGTGAGCCTGTAGCTTACCTGGCACAGGAGCGGGGCAAATAGCACGGGCTATGGTGAGCCCGTAGTGGACTTACCTGGCACAGGAGCGGTGCCGTCTCTAGTTGCATTCTGGGAATGGTCAGTAGTTTTTTGGCTGGGTCATTGATACCAGCCTAAAGTTTATATACACACAGGCTTCTTAACCCCAACAAAATTAATTATATATTAATTAGTATATAACTTATTCTGTTGGGAACATGTATTATGATGGGTCTGGTTATTGAGGCTGGTGGCATGGCACTGCCGGCACTTTGTGTTCAATTAGAGATTTTTTTATTGATAATATTGTACTGGAACAACTTGGCAACAAAATTGCTGCTTTCTAGACTCGAGGTGTATTGTGATACTGTATTTGGATACAAAATAACATAGGTTAATATAATCTTGAGCCAGGTGCTTTTTTTATGCATGGATTTTTTTCTTTTCTTTTTTATTGATTTTTGTTTTGTTTTTTTGCCTTAATCTACTTATGTACTCTACCTTTGTCTAAATGTTCAACATTGTAACAAAAACATAAGACAAAAATTGTTAGTTTTTTGCCATTTTTTTTAAATTCAGACTACAAATATACCGATTTCTTTTCGGTATGGTATAAGAATATTATATAATGTTCATATTTTCTGTATAAAAAACAACACAAGTATAGTTCACTGTAAAAAAAAAATTAAATAAACCTTCCAATTAAATACCAAATATTGACAGTTAGTAATTTGTAACTCCAAACGTTTTGCACTTGTTGGAAAAATTTACGGAAAACTTTTAGGTTGAAGGAAGTTTCAAATAATACCTGTACGTTAAAATGATAAGAAATGACTGGTAATTTGTAGCTCTGAAAGATTTTAAAAGTTGGTTTTGTTTTACAAAAATAATTGAAATTGAAGTTCTTGACAATAATTTTGGTTCTTTGTAAATTTTCTTGTAACATACAATATATATTGCAAGGCATTTGTGTTAAAATATGTGAAAGTTCTAGGTCAATTCATCTTGATTAAAAATAGAGAAAATTATTAAAAAAAAAAGTGAATTGCACATACTTATTCACCTATGAATAAATGCATATGTGCATATTAATTATACAAGTTTTTTGGCATTTCAAAATATTGGCTTTATTGGCACTGTTGTATCACATATTGGCACCCGTTATGATGGCATCATTTATTTGTATGGTATGCATGTTTGAGAGTTAGGGTTTACAAAACAAACAAATATTATGAACCTTATTGATGGCAGTGCCAGCCACTGCCTCCTCTTTCACAGCCATAAATGGCACTGACCCATGTGCCAGGAAGTGTGTGCCAGTGAACTGAGCAGCAAGGCAACACGTGAGGAGTGTCATGAGGTGCAACTAATGTCAGCTGGACGAGTCCTGCTTTCCCTCCTTGCTTGTACTGTACTCGCACTTATTGCTCGCTCATTCACTTTTTATTTTTCTATTTTTTATTTTTTTAACGTCCTGGTGAAAATGGCAGCAATAAAACACCAGAGGAACAGCGCGAGAGGCAACGAAAATGACGTAATACAGTACCACATCACACCTCCCACCTTTTTGAACAACGCGTGTTGACCGAGGGGCTCCCTTCACATACACCCTCAGGCAGCGTCATGGTGGCCAGTGACCAAAAGAAACATTTTATATAAAGAGTTTTCGATTTTTTTCTGAAAAATCCGATTGTTAGAAAATAATTGGGTATGTCCTGGATGACTCAATGAAAATGGCAGACAGTTTTGTGATGGTTGGGTGGGGGGGGGGGAAGAGTTATGTATAACATGATTATTATTTAACATAGTTAAGACTTTCACAAAAATGATGCCAAAAGATAAGAGATTTTTACAGAATATTTCTATATTTTTTTTGTTTTTGGTCAAAATATATTAAATGTAAAAGCACCCATCCCCTTAAGGCTAATATTAGTCTTAATATAATAAAATCTCTACACATAGCTTAACTTTTCTTTGCATAATCTATTTTGATAATTTATATTATTCACCCAATGGCCACAGGTGCTCCAGTGGCCTGGACGAAGACAGGAAGCCATCAACTTGCCAAAGGGACAAATGGGGACAAATCCCCATTTGTCCCTGGTGATTTTATTGAGCTGGATGTTGAAATTCAGCAAGGTTTTGGCATTTATGGCTTTGATGGGTTAAAAAGTGAACCTGTTAATTATTGTGCCACTCAAAAATATTAGTATTTACCTATTAACCAAAAAATCTATTTTTACCAAGAGTGGACTAATTTGCTGGCAGTGTTAAATTGCTGTCATATTGGTACTGCCTAAAACAGTGATCACTTGATACAGTATATGGTAACTTAAAACATTTAAATGAAGTATTTTATTTGTTGTTAGCTGGGGAAAACAGTAAGTTGTCTTGCTTATTTTTATTTTGCTTTTTCTGGACTAAATTCATCAGATACAATTGCAACCAGAAATGTCAGTCATGGACAAGCCTTTATTATATAAAACCTGATAGTTCTTCAATAAGCAAAACATTGTTATGAAGGTTTGCAATTCCCAATGTTATAGTGTGCAGGAACACATTTGATCCAGGTACATGAATATATTGCTTAAAAGCTGGGACAAACATTATTCAGTACAGTATCTTGTCGCATCTTATCCCCATGATTTTTGCCATGTCTATGAAAGACTTGAAAGTGTGTATGAAGCAAGGCAATTTATAATTAACTCCCTAAATTTAGTTTTTCTGGTCCGTATTACAAAAAAATCCTCGCCGTTTCATAAAACATGGCTTTCTGATTTCTCCATCTCTAAATCTTCCAGGTTCATATGTCCTTGGAATTATGTGTGGAGTCAGTGTCAATGGTTCCCAGCATTGGTGTCAATCAGTGGATGTTGATGTACCTGATATGGTGCCCATCCTTTATACTAAGGCCAGAAAGGAAGCTAAGGCTTTCAGGATTTTTTTTTCTAGTGTGGCAAACTACAGCTGTATTGCCAAAACACTTGTCAAATGATGTCACCAGACAATTGGTAGGACTTTTGACTATTACTGTACGAACTTGCTTATCCTTAGCCTGCTGATCTGAATATTTGGGTTATCCGGCAAAAATTGCAGCCAGATATTTTT